GTACCAATTTAGAATGAGCACACAGTCTGTAGACCAATATCATCTGTTTGTCTTTAGATCCAGATTCATATTATTCTTTTTTTATCCAGCTTCTTACTTCTTTTTAAAGTTTGATATGGAACTGGGTAAAATGGTTCTGGGCCAGACATGGGTAGTTGTGAAGCATCTTTAGCTATTTTATCAGTAAGTTCATTTCCAGCAAAATCATGATGACCTGGAACCCAGACTAAACTAATGGTATTATGGGCTTGAGCCAGAGAATTGAGATCTTGAGTACAGTTCAAAACACAGTTTTGTAACTTGACACGATTAGCCAGGGCAAGGATGGCTGATTGGCTGTCAGAGAGAATATATATATTCTCATCAACTGTATTTTTAGCTAAGAGCCCCCTGGCCACCATATTGATCGCCAGAACCTCGGCTTGGAAAACAGTTGTTAATTTACCAAGGTATAGATGAAATCTTCTCCAGATCCCTTGGTTCTTATAATAGTTCCAGCTCCAGCTGAAGTTGGATTTTGATCCATCTGTGTAACATTCAATTGATCCTGTTGGAATTAGGTCAATTAGATATTCTATCTTATTCCTTTTTGGCATATAAGTTGAGAATAGTTTATTTGGAACTGTTGTTTTAGTAATTGTATCTTTGGCCATATAGATTATAGGGATCTCATTGACCAAGTCCAGGCATATGTCAATGTGGCTTTTCAGATGGCTTTTATGACCAAAACCTGTCCTTTGGCACCATCTGCCATTTTTTTATTCAACCTATACATGTCTTTAATTCCTTCTCCTCTCAAGAGTAATTTCAAGGGTGGAATTTGCAATAAAAATTCTAATGCAGCAATAGGGGTACTATTTAAAGCCCCACTAATGCATAGGCAAGTAAGTCTTTGCACCTTTTTAAATATGTGCCCTTTGTTAATAACATTGATCCAGACCACGCATTCGTAAGAAAGCATTGGCCGGACTATGGCAGTATAAATCCATAGAGTAGATTTTGGGTTAAGGCCCCATTGTTTACCAACGATTCGCCTGCACAAGTACTAGTACATTTGTGGCTGTTTGTGCCTTTTCTTTTATATGGGTGATCCATGTGAGTTTACTGTCCAGGTAACATCCTAGGTATTTAACGCATACCTTACGTCTGATAATCTGGTTACCCAGATATAAATCTGCTAGTTTCCATTTCTTTCTCCACGTGAAAACTATGACCTCGAATTTTTCAGCAGAGAAAGATAGGCCATTTGTTTCACCCCAATGTGAACTTTATTCAAGCTCAGCAGCTACACAATCAAGCTCAACCTGTAGTAACACAATAAGGTCATCTGCATAAGCCTGTGGCATACCAGGTTCCTCCTGTAGAAGTACTAAGAGTGAGTCGAATACCAGGTTCCACAGGAACGGAGAAAGAATACCACCCTGTGGACACCCTTTAGTAATATCTCTCTTTACTTCACAGTCAGTGAAACTAACGCAGATATTCCTGTTTTTAATCATAAAGATTATCCATCTAGTTATCATAGGGTGAATATGACTTCCAATAAGGGCCTTATGTATTTTCTCGAAACCGATGTTATCAAAGGCTCCTACAATATCCAGTAGAATCCCAATGGCAAAGTGTCCGTCTATAATTGTTTTTTCTATTCTCCACACGAGTTGGTGTAAGGCCGACTCAGTGGAGAAGCCAGGCCTAAAACCGTGTTGGTCTAAGCCAAAAATATGGTTCAGATTATTATCTGACTGGAGGTGCCAGAAAATCAATCGCTCCAACAGCTTAAGCTGGAAGGATGTTAGCGTAATCATTCTAAATGAGTTTGGTTTCTCATATGTATCTTTTCCTGGTTTGGGAAGAAACACACCTCGTGAAGTTCTCCACACCTTAGGAACATATCCTAAAACCAAACTGGATTTGAATATGTCCACGAGAATGTGGCCAAAAATATCCCAACCTTTCTGAAGCAGAATTGGGTAAATGCCATCGTTCCCTGGAGATTTAAAGGGAAGAAATACATCTAGGGCCGCTTTAGCCTTTTCAAAGTTCACTATTGTCTTAGCAAAATCCAAATCTAATGGATTATGAAGTAATTCCAATGGATTTTCCTGGGGGTCAGAGGTGACACTTGTGTCCCCCAGATGAAAATTCAACATGGTCGAAAGTGTATCCAAAGGGTTTATACTATAACTGCCATCTGGTCGCGCATAACCGATGAGAGTTGAGACTCCTGAGATCCTTTAAGAATTTTATGTACTGTGGCAGTCTCATGGTAGAACAAAATATCTGTACAGAAGGATCTCCATGAGTTGTATTTAGTTTTCCTGATTTTACTTTTAAATTTCCTTTGTAGAATTTTAAAGTTAGACCAGTTAACTTCAGATTTATTTCTGACTGCTTTCCTGTGAGCTCTCCGAACCTCTAGGCGGAGGCTTTCAAGCTGCTTGGTCCACCAAACTCTCTTGCTAGGAGAGTACTTCCTTCGTTTGAGAGGGCATGATGCATGATAAGATTCAATAATGATATTTGACAGATTGTTTGCTTGAGAAACAAGCTCCTCGACTGTACAATTATTGTCTAAAACCTGAAGGTTAATGACATTAGAAACCAGGAAGTCCTTATAAAGGTCCCAATTTGTGTTTTTAATGTTTCTGAAATATTCAGCTGGAATTTCATCTCTAATACAAAATTGTATAAGGCGATGGTCTGAAAGTGAGGGATTGTCACTTACATGCCAATTCTCGATAAGGTTATAAATATCAGAAGAAGTTAATATGAGGTCAATGACTTCTTCTCTTCTTCTGTTGATAAAGGTGGGACGATTTCCCCTGTTTACCCAAGTTAGGTTGGTATTCATTATAAGTTCCATGAGTTTTTCTGCTCTAGGCTTGATATCAGAACTGCCCCATGATTGGTGGTGAGCGTTAACATCACCACCAATAACCATAGGAATATTGTTTATTTTACAGAAACTCACAAGATCTATAAATTCTTGCGGAATGTTAAGGTCATAAGCCATGTAAACCGAGCAAAAACAAATGTTTCCTCTCAGTGAACTGTTTATGTCCTTAGTTAAAATAGCAGTTAAGTCCTCTGTTGTAAATTGAGATAATTTCATAGCCTTTATATTTTTAGAATTGTAAATGCTAGTTCTAGGTCTTTTATTAGGTCCGTCTGACGAAAAGAAGTGTGCTTTCATGAGCCTACCAAGGTTTTTACCCTTGTACACCCAAGGTTCTTGAATTAAGGCAACAAAAGTGCCTTGCTTACCTAACTGAGCAGCTAAATTGTATGAAGCTGCTCTGCTATGTTGCAGGTTTAGCTGACTAACCTTAACCATTAAAACAGGTTAAATGAGAGATAAGAACTTACCCTGAAGAATTTTAGGAGAGACTTAGTTAAAAGCCACATCCTTAACTCACTACTTCAAAGGAAGTAGTGACAGGGGAAAACTATTCAGATGTCTTCCCCAGAGCCTCCAAAGAAAGCTCTGGTTCCGACTCATTTTCGGTCTCCCCTTCTTCCCGTCAACTGTTTCTCCTCGGAGGATCCTTGGGGTGGAGGAATTGATTTCTCCTGTTGTCTTGGTTCCTTTAGCTGTACAGAGCCACGAGCACCACAAAAAAGTTTGAAATTCTGGGCCTCCACATAATCCATGAGCTCAGGTTCCACTCCCAGCACCAGAGTGTTACCTCCATCTCCAGAGATAACTGCCTTGATGGCGATCTTCTTAACATCCAGGCCCTTGTTACAGGCATCAAGGAGCTTGATGTTATCTTTTGGTGACCTGTTACCAGGAAACCAAGCGAAAAACCTCTTCATGGGGGGTCTGTCCCCAGGAGCCATGACGTGATAACCGGGATGGTTTTCTTCAGGGCCAGGTAGATCATTGATTAAAGTCTTTAGGACGTCCACAGTCTCCTGGTCCTCACATGCAATGTTGAGGCCATTCGGCTGCAGGACTGTCTTGTGGACCCTGCAGGTGGTGATGGAGCCGTCGATAATTCGGTCATCAATTATAGAAGTGATGAAGTCTGAATCTGCCGATGTTATGTCTCTGGAGTCATCCTTGCAGACGACCCGCAGAGTAATTGCCTTCCTCATAGCTTGACTATAAAGCCGTCGTTTCTTGAGGGCCATTTCCGGGGTGTCACCAGCAATGCATTCTCTCTTACGAGACTCTTCATTGCTCGAATGGCTCTCCCTCACCAGTTTGGAGGTCGCTCCAGAGGTCCCAGCTTTATCTGTTTTCTCCTTCCCTCCCTTCTCCCCAGAGATCGAGATCATTTCCATGGCCCTCTTCAGCCGTTTCCGCTCCTTTTGGCGTTGTCTCTTTTCTCTTCTTTTATTTACAACCTCCGTCATTGGTGGCTGGTCATCCGCTGGCGCATCTGGCACAGCACTTCTGACAGAGGAGTCAGTATCCATCCCTACTGGGTTCAAGGCGTCCGTGTCCGAAGGCACATTCACCCCTTCACCAGCGGTTCTGGTTTCTGTAGTCCTGAAGAGAAGAGCGTCCACACCCAAGGGCGCATTCACTCCCTTAGGAGCTACAGTGGTTAAAGTGGGGATTTCAGAGGATGCGTTTTTATCTAATTCTATATTGCTAACATCCATTTTGGTATTTGATTGAAAAAAGGGGGAGAAAAATTACTTCCTATTTTCTAAGAGCCAGTTTGGAGGGGCTAGCCCCAGATTCAGCAGCCAGCAGTGACCTCGGAAGAGTCCCCCGCTCTGCCATGCAGGACCCCTCCCAGGCACCACCTGGAACTGCAAGGTAGGCGAGATTATACACCAGCTGATAGAGCAGCCAGGACATGCTGGTTAGGCTGCCCGGGCTCCTGTACTATCTGGCGGCCTGAGACGCAAAACTCAGCTTTTCTCCTGTATCCTCTACATGGCTACTTCCTCCAAGACCTCTCCTCTCCAGATCAAAGATGCTCGGAATTTCAAATCCTCCCCACAATCGCCGGTTTTCCCAGGGAGGAGTGGTCCGTTGGGTCGTCATAAGATTATTCATCATCAGAACGAACCTCATCCCACTGAACCCCGGTATGCCACAATGGCCTACAATCACTTTCCGTGATTCGGATGACGATGTAAGTTTTTACACGTATTTTCGTAGCTTATTTTATTTCTATTTGAATGCATTTGAGCTTATTTTATTTTGCACGAATCCACTTTTATTTTGATAGATATTAGATGAAGTTGATCAAATATTCATGGAAAACCCCCTGGTTCTGCCCTTGTATCATCAAGTGGGTTCCGGATTCGAGGTAAATATTTAAGTATTTCAGCATTTTTAGATTCTGTTAGAATATTTTTTTTCTTATTAATAAAAATGAATGTATTTATTTTTTCGACTTCTCTGTCATCAGCTCAGGGCCCTATGTATATGGCTGGTTCCGATGAACGATCGGTGTGTATTTTTCTTTTTACATGAATGTCTTTTTTTAAAAAATGTTTGATTATTACCGAAAACTTATCTTTATTTTTACTTTTCAGATCGATGAGGCGATTGTTCTCACAGAAAAGTCTCGTCGCCGAAACCACAAGTACCAAGCCGAGGAAATTACTTTCCGGCACAGTATAGATATTGAACGACTGCCTTAGGACGTACAAGGAATCCCAATGGTACGAATTCCAGATACCTGTCCGGGAATTGTTGTGAGCAACTCATTCGCCGGACAACAGCTAATCTGTGCCCATCATACCTCATCCGGTTCTGCATCCAGGTAGAAGGCTTGGATAAACCGATTAGCACGTCCCTGATGGCAGTTTCGACCCTTACAGTTGAAAAGATTTTGGCTGCTGTCATGAAAGTGTTGCAGTCCAAAGACAAAATCGAGCTAGACACAGGATTTGCAGTTGATGTAATCACTATAAAACGCCCTGTGGGTGCCGGTGGAAACAGAAAAGTGATCAACATCTCCACTGCCATCAAAGCCGACCGTGAATTTTTTTGATTACTTTAACTTTTTAGATTTTATTTACATGTATGCACGAAGGCAATTTGTTTCTATGTTAAAAATATAATTTGCAAAAAGATTAATTTAACATTTAGGCATATATTTCTGATCATTTAGATGTTAAAACTTGTAAAACTGAATGCATGGCGAATTTTTAGATTGCGTTAAATTTTATGTATAAATGCATGCATGTATGCGATTTTGGTCGGCTTTGATGCATGCATGTATGCCATCAAATCATGAAAGATCGTCGCCGACCAGCTCTTGTGAAACGAGGCAAGGAACTTCATATGGCTGCGAATGTGTCTTTAGGCCCTTGCACATTTGCAGAAATTGCCATGTTTGAAGACAATCTGAATACTCAAATTGCAGTCTTTTCTTCGGATAATTTGAACCGGGTAGCATATTTCACAAGTGCACATCTATGTAGCCACCGAGGGAGTGGCTTCTAGGGTGGACCAATGAGCATCCAGTAATATTTCTGTCATGTGACATGACCTTTCGTGTGCTTTAAGATTTAAGCAAGATGGCTGAAAATATTCTGCTACGCAATTTTTTTTACAAAATAATTAAAGCATCGTCGATTGCTTTTAAAACTTTTCATTGTGAAGTTAGGTGAAATATAGGAATTTATGAAGATTTCACTATCTGGTTGAAATAAATACAAACACATGTTGGAAACTTCGCAAAAATATCGATGTGAAATATTATTTAAAAAGTAGTAAATAAGATGAAGAAAGAAATATGTGATAAACATCTGAGCCCAAATGCAATCTTTACATAAAACTTTACTAATTTGCACTCGTATACATTTAGAGCATTAAATTTCTCATTTAATAAATGCTAACTCTTAAATGTACTGTCTACACAAGAAATACTCATCAGAGGGAATTTATCATCGAGTATATTCAATTTATTCACATATAATTTTTAATGTTAAACAATGGATATAATCAGATATACAGCATATGTATTCTGAATCTTACATTTTAAAAATCCTAAGAATGCAAGCACTGAAATAAGAAAACACTAGATTCAACACTTTCAGTCATTCTCCGCTCAATTAAAAATATATATATACTTGAATTCTCTTAATCCACGGTGTTATAATATGCCGTGAACCATTTGCGGCAATCCTTAATATTCGAATGCGTGATAAAAATCGCGAAAGCGAAATGTCAGCGATTAATCAAATTCAGAAAACGAAAGCACCACGAGATTTTCTACTATTACGTCATATATTTATAACTGCGAAACAAATGCAAATTAAAACGTAAACAACATATGCCCACATGCACGAAGATTTAGTATCACAAGAGCAATAGCAGCTCATTGGTCCATTTTCGAAACCCCTCCCTCAGTGGCTGCGCTGATGTGCACTTGTGAAATATGCAACCGGGTAAGTCATTATTTTTGTCTCAATTAAAATATTTCTGTCTTCAAATTTATTTTTTATGTTTATAAACGAGATTTTACATTTTTAGGGCATTTTTTAAAATCGTAACTTGATTTTAGTTCTTTTCTATTTTGTGGTTCCATACTATACTTATGGTAAAATTTATTTTGTACATAATTAAATTTTAAAATTAGCTACAAAAATCAAACGACTAGCAATATAATTTAGGATTATTATGTTTCCACGTTAAAATTGTATCTTGTGAAAATGCACGCAGAATGTTTAAATTAACTTTATGCATGTATGCAATTCGTTTCTATGTTAATGGGTAAAAAGCTCAAAGTTTTTAGATTTTTTCGATAATAGAATTTGGAATTTATTTTTAGAGAAGCGTTTTTTTGTTTTAGAAGTTAAAAATATAACTTGGAATAATTAAGTGCGCGCTGAATGTTAAAATTAACTTTATGCATATATACAATTCGTTTCGATGTTAAAAACTTTAACGTGTAAAATTGAATTCTTGATGAATTTTTTTTATTACTTTAACTTTTTAGATTTTATTTACATGTATGCACGAAGGCAATTTGTTTCTATGTTAAAAATATAATTTGCAAAAAAATTAAAATAAAATTTAGGCATATATTTCTGATCATTTAGATGTTAAAATTTAACATGTAAAACTGAATGCATGGCGAATTTTTAGATTGCGTTAAATTTTATGTATAAATGCATGCATGTGTGCGATTTTTTTTTTAGATGGTAAAACATATAATAAAATTAAAAATGCATAGTTAGATTTTTAGATTACTTTAAATTGTTAGATTAATTTCATATTCTATGCATGTAAGCAATTCATTTTGACGTTAAACTATAAAAATGAATGCACGATGAATTTTTTTGTTCTATTTTAACGTATATGCATGTAATCCTTTCGATATTAAATGCACAAGGAATTTTTAGATGGCTTTATGTATGTAATTAGATGTTAAAAACTTATTTCTAAAGGGTTCGATTTTGGAATTTAAGAGAAAACTTTTGTCTTTCTGTGTTTTAGGTGGTGTATAAAGGAAGAGAGAGGGCACAACGAATCAATTTGTGGCTCCATGATGGACATTACGATGTCGTCAAATCCCTCAAATGGTTTTTTGCTAGCAACCATTATTGCACAGCATGTGAAAAGCCGTATGATCACCGGGAACGCCATCGGTGTGAGAATGCGTGTCCCATATGTTTGAGGATGGACTGTGCTCCAGGTCAGCCCCAATGATGCCCGGACTGTGACCGCCTTTGCCGGTCAGATGCCTGTTATTCAGCACACAAAGCCCTGTCTGGAAACCAGGAGTTTTCGCTTTGTGACAGGGTAAGTGTTCTTTGAAAATGTATCTTAATGAACACAGTTAATTATCATAAATTTTTTTTGAAATTGTTGTGTTAAAAAAAATAATTGTTGTCACAGTGCTCTGAAGAAGTCTGATGACAAGTTCATTTTCTTTGACTTTGAACGGACCAGTCTTCAGGGGAGCATCTTGTAAATTTCGCGGTGGCTCAGTATGCCGACGACACTAAGAAAGTGTTTCCGGGCTATGAGGCGTGCCGAGATTTCTGTGCCTGGCTCTTCACCACACAGCACAAGGGCTACACCGCCGTGGCACATAACATGAAAGGGTAAGTTAAAAATACCTTAGTTTGCATGCTTTTTAAGTACGACAATTTTTTTCAATATTATTCATATTTTTTTGCTTACAGGTTCGACGGACAGTTCGTGATGGCCTGGCTCCTGGAGCAAGCCGGAGGTGATAGGCACAGCGCCCGGTCTAACGGGTATATGATCATATGTTTAAGACATCGAGTCTAAACATACGGGTCATAGACTCGTTAAATTTTCTACCGATGGCGCTTGCCGGGCTGCTTCGGTCTCAGCGAATTGAAAAAGGTTACTTCCCCCATCTTTTCAACTCCCGAGAAAATCAAAATTATGTCGTACCGCTACCTGAGGCACGGTACTACAGCTCGGATACTATGAGTACTCCAGCCCGACAAGCTTTCATGTCTTGGCACGAAGAACACAAGGGGAACATATTTAATTTTCAAACAGAGATGCTGGCCTATTGCAGGTATATTTTTCCCCACCTTCTTGTTTCAATTTTATGTTTCGTATATTTAAAATTTTCTTTCCCCCCCTTTTTTTTTGTTAGATCGGACGTGGATATTCTTCGTCGCTGTTGCCTGGAGTTTCGAGCCCAGTTTTTGGATGGGGCGGCTGTGGATCCATTCCAGTAAGTCATTATCTTAATTCTTTTATACAATAATCATAATGTTTGCAGTTACGTTATAAAATAATCATACTCATGAAATTGTTCTCTTTTCTTTTTAGATACGTAACCATTGCGTCAGCGTGTATGGAAACGTATCGGCGTGGCCACATTCAGCCCAACACGATTGCCATGGTACCCACACACGGATATGTGAACTCCACGAATTACTGCCCTGATTCAATCCGGTGGTTGGACTTTGTTGCTGCTTCGGAAGGCAATGCCATTAAACATGCGTTGAACGGTTCCGGAGATCAGAATTGCCGGAATCTCGGTAGACGGTCTGCCAAGCAACTCAAACCGTCTATCAGTTTCAGGTAAGAAAATATAACCATTCTTTTTCTATGTGATTCTTTTGAATGATTTTAAACTTTTAATGTTTAATTTACATATTGAACACTATTAATGTATTTGTATGATTTTAGGGCTGTTTCTTCCATGGATGTAGTTCGTGCTATGACGGTGATGTCATCCACCCCTTAAAAGGAGTTTCCATGGCAACGTTAAGAGAAAAGACAAAAGAGGCCACACGAAAACTTCGAGCCCAGGGTTTCCACGTCATAGAAACGTGGGAGCACGAATTTCAACGGCAGAAGGAAGAAAATCCAAACCTCCAAGCTTTCCTGGATCAACACCATTTGAGGGACCGGCTCATTCCTTGCGAGTCATTTTTCGGAGAACGGACCAATGCCCTCAAATTGTTCCACGAGGGAGACGCAAAAAATGTGGATTTCACGTCTCTCTATCCATGGGTTCGTATTTTGTTACTATTTTAAATACTTTAATGTGTATGTTTTATGATGTGTTTTTCTGACTTTTTGTTCATTCACATGTGAACAAATATTGCGTCTACCCTGTGGGACATCCGGAAATCATCACGGAAAGCTTCGGGGATCTAGAAAACTACTTTGGCATCATTCAATGCCTTGTCATTCCTCCCCGGAACCTATATCTTCTAGTATTGCCTTATCGGTGCCGGAAGAAACTAATGTTCCCCCTGTGTTGGACTTGCGCCTTTCTACAGTGTCAGTCTTTCTGTACCCACACAGAAATCGGAAGAAGTCAAGCTGGCGAAAACGAAAAGGTTACCGCATCACACATTTAAGTATTCAAATATTATTTAAATCGTTTGTCATGACCCAAATTTATTTAAAATATTTTTTATAACTGAAATTTATTCTTTATTTTCTAGATTTACGAAGTGTATCATTTCAAAGAATCGTCTACTTCCTTGTTTCGTTCATACATTGATCTCTTTCTGAAGATCAAACAGGAAAGTAGTGGATGGCCTTCGGAGTGTGTGACGTCTGAAGACAAATTAAAGTATATTCGCCAGTATGAAGAAAGAGAGGGGCGTCAAGTTGGACGCTGGAAAGATTTCCAAGAACCCTGGGCGTCGACAAGTTGCCAAGTTGGCCCTAAACAGTTTCTGGGGCAGGTAAGATGATTTCTTTTGGACTTAATTTTTTTTGTAAAATTTTCTTTTTTTAATTCGTTTTGTGATTTATGTTGGATTTTGTTTTTCAGATGGGGTATGAACGTCAACAAAGCGACAACTTACCTACGTACATACGGTGCCAGACTTTAATAAGATGTTGGCGGATCCTACCAAAAAAAGTAAGTTTTCTTATCGATTTTATTCATCTATAAACTTCGACCTGTTAATTCATGTATTTTGAACTGTTGAACTTCATGATTCTTCTATTTTTTTCAGATCAAAGATGTCTTTCTTCCCACGCCTGAGGTGGCTGCCATTTACAATGGGAATCTGCAAAGGAGTTTGTGCCGCAGGATGCCTCGACCAACATTTTTCTAGCTAGCGACTTTTACGACAGCTTGGGCTCGTCTCAAGCTGTATAGTGAAATGGAGAAGCTGGGTCGAGATGTCCTGTATCACGACAGACTCCATCATCTATGCCTCGAATGGTTGCAACGATCCCCCTTAGGAAACTTCTTAGGAGAATTTACCGACGAACTGGATGGAGATATTATCAAAACCTTCGTGTCAGGTAAGGGCCTTTAACCGCGGGAAGGCGCGTGGGGTGTATCATACCCCAACCCTACATAAAAGGAATATCCTAATGTACTGAAATTCTGTGCTGCTTTCAGTAGCTGAGTTATAGTGTGGTGACTTTCAAACCGCTTTTTCTTGCCTGTGTTTTCAGAAAAGGATTATCGGTATTATGTTGGAACTGGGGTATGACACACCCCACGCGCCTGTCCGTTGTAAGTGTTTTTCTGACTGAATATTTAGTTCAGAAATTTATTTCTAAAGTGTAACAGTAAATATTTCTACTCGCAAGTGATTTTAAAGTACTTGACATTAAATTCTTAAAAATTTCTAACTGCATTATGGTAAAAAGAATGAGTCCCTATGAACTGGAGATGCAACTGCCATGTGAGATTTATTAGAAATATTTGAAAGCGATGAGATTGCATTTCGGAAACTGAAGATTGAAACTAAGGAATATTTTCTACAACTGTTTGTGGTTTCGAAAAAGATAAAAACATTAATTCCTGATGTTCCTAAAAATAGGAAAAACTGTTCTTATGCTTTCAACATTATATAACGATCATACTATAGATGATACTATTGGAAAAAATAAAACGTCAGGAATTATATGTTTTAATAATATGACTAAAGGAGCAGTGGATATGGGGGATGAAATGTCAGCCAATTATTCAATTGCCAGAATAACAAGAAGGTGACCAATGGTAATTTTCTTTCCTGCGCTGAATGTTGCTGTAATAAATGCTTGAATTATATTACATTCAACTGCTAATCCACCAACAAGAAACATAAGTCTGTTTTTGAAGGACTTAGCATTACATTTAATGAAAAAAGTTTTGAACAAAGATCAGAGATTAATACTTTTAACAAGAAATTGACGTACTAGCATGCAAAACTAAAGCAGAAGTTTCAATGAAGAATTAAAGCGAATACATGAAATTCGAAACAACTACGTATGAAAGATGTGTTAAATTTTTTGCCCTCGCGCCAAGGACAGAAGAACGTGAATGCAATGTTTAAAATGTGAAAACATTCTGTGCCAAGAACACATGAATTTATTTCGTTCAAAGTGTGAAGAAATAAAATAAGCATGGTGTATTAGAGATGCAATGAAACTTAGAGGCATGATGTTTATTATTTTCATTTATCTTAATTTTAACTCTAAGATTATTTCGGAAATTATTTTTTTGAAACCCAATTATTATTCACTTATTTATAATGAATTGTTTTCTAGTATCTTCGGTTAAAGAGTTCCTTATTTAATATGTACAAAAAAAAAATGTTTAATGCATATTTTTTCTGTTATGTCTTTTTCTCATCATGTTTTATTTTTTTTTTTTTTTTTTCAGGAGGTCCGAAAAACTATGCGTACCAGACGGCCACTGGGAAAACCTGCTGCAAAGTCCAGAGGATTTTCATTGAACTTCCGAAATTCCCAGTTGCTTGAATTTTGAAGCCATCAAAAGTCTGGTATGTAGTCTGGACCAAAAGGATGTCATAGCTCTGCACAACCCCTCCAAAATCACCCGAGAACCGAAAAAGAAGAAAAAGTTATGAATAAACCTGAAACAAAAATGTACAAAGTTGTGTTGGACAAAAGGGTGATTCAAGCAGACTTCACCACCTTACCATTTGGCTTTTGAAAATGACTTTTGTAAAATGTATGGTATGTACAAAAAAGTTTGTATGTAAAAAGATGATATGCACAATATCATGCATTTGCGTGTAAAAACTGATTTAGAAAAAAAAATAAACAGAAGTTTGAAAATTATAGTGTTGTTCTTTTTTTTTTTTTTTTTTTTTTTGAAAGGATTTCATAAAAGGTAAGTTTTTTTTAAATATTAACTTTTATTATTATGAACATTTCATTACAATTCCAGCCATAGTTTCGAAGAGGATTTTCTTTCAGGTTTAGCACATACATAGTTTTTACATTCATTAAATGTTTGTTTTTCACAAAGTCTTGAGGAAAGTTGTTAACATTCAGTACATTTTTTAAACTGTTCAAAGGCAAAAGGTTCTTTGAGTTCTATTTCTCAACAGAAAGTTTATCAAGTTGAACAATGTTGGAGCCAGAAAACACATGACCGTCCAGAATGAGTTCTTTATTCTGTGTCCAGGAAATCTGATGCTCTTTTAGAAAATCTATTTTTCTGTGCCGTTCTTTTCTGTTTCACAGGAACTGTTTGCATAATTTCCTTTTCTATATCTTGTCTCAGAACGTTGTTCAGGCGGTTGTTTTTCGGAACGTGTTCACATGAGGAAACGTAACATACTTTTGCAGAACCTTGGATGTACAATTTGGACTTTTCTTCATCATCGTCCATTTTTTTTTTTTTTTAAGATGTTTTGAATTTGGTGTATCTAAATCACTCAAATGTTCATCTTCAAATTGCTGCATACGATCCAGGGGTACCAGAGCAAATTTCTTACTGTGTTCCATGGATAAGGGAGGATAAGACACTGACTGCTGCAGGAATCAGGAAAGATAGGAAAACCGTCACCTTTTTGAACCAAAAGACGTCTTTTCTTAAAAAGAGGTACTTTTTTGTCCGCTAGTTTTCTTAAAGTTCTTTTAAAAGGGGCGAGTCGATTTTTGACGCGTTTGGTGATGGGTACGTTTCCTTTTAGAAGATTTTAAAACACACTCACAAACTGATTTGATGAGATGATTCGGACACTTTTTCAGTACAGCTGCTGCTTTTATTCGACTTTTTCCTAATAGTTTTAGATAATCCACATCCTTCAGATGAGACATGCTGATGACAAATGAGCTCTTTTTCTTGCACACTTTCTTTTATATAGGTAGCAAATGCAGCCGCTTTGGTTAAAGCACAGCAATTAAATCCTTTTGCATGAATCGAACATGTTAAAGAACTTTTCTTTTTTTAAATTCTCTATCTTAGGACAGTCTAGATTATGATGTCTCTACATAATAAATTTTCTAAAAATAATTTCTTTTCTAATCGTTTCACGTATATAGCAGAGTGACTAGATGACAAATATTGCAAAATAATACGAAGATGAGTATAAGGTAATACATCATCATTCCAATTCATGTGATGACGATTTCTTATGACCCAGGCAAAACACTTTTGCTGATTCCGTTTTCCAGGATTTCTTATGACCCAGGCAAAACACTTTTGCTGATTCCGTTTCAGGTCGTAAATCAATTAGCAAGTAACTATAAGGGGCTGAAGTAGCAACTTGAAAAATTTCTTGAAAGGCCTTTAGTTTTCCGGGGAACATTTGACTAGCTAAATGCATGATTTGACTTTTATCTCTAGGATTTTTGTATAGGACAAGGTAATGGGAATTTAAATGAATATTTCTCATCTCCTTGCCTTGGTGAAAAAGATTTTGCGTTATAAAAACGACTGAAAGGTTTCGGTGATGACTTCCTTTTGTAAAAAGTTTGCTTAAGCGAGTATCACTTGCTAATTCAGACATTAAATCGTCTATGATAATTAAAGCATTTTGGAGAGTCTGCAGGTTAGATGGTAATACTTCTTCAAAATTTACATTTTTCATGGAATTAAAAACAGGTTGATAACTTCCGTAGCAATAAATAACATTGGTCGGCATGATATGGAACATTTTATGATCTATCAATTTCTTCGCAAAAACCGTTTTAACCGAACCGGTTTAACCGCTCAGAAGACAAGTAGAAGGATGTACGAACTTGGGCAGTTCCATTTTTGGAAATGAGAGGAACTTTAAAAAACACTGACTTTTATACTTTACCGAAAATCCTTTTGCATAAGACATTTATTCATTTTGTTTAAATAAGTGCAAGAGACAAGAAGTACAAGAGACATTTTTACAAATTAAAACAACTTTATTTTTTAAAAATCATGTTTACACCATATCTTTTTTTGACAAATTGAAATATTTGGAAATCATGATTCTTCCTAACTAAGGGTGATACAATGAGTTCCATACAGAGTCCTTAGCATCGTTTAATAATAAAATAAATACAGTAATGTCCACATACATTAGAAGTTAAACTCTGTAGCGAAGTCTTGTTTCAGCAAACACGACGATATTTCTTGACAAAGGATGTGATATCTTTTCCATATACTTCAGTCGGGAGTCAAAAAATTGTCTGTTTGTCTGCAATGTAGACAGTTAGCCAATAAGTTCCTTTTTCATCATGTTTCTCAGTATTGAGCACCAGTGCGCAGGGAAAACTTTGAATCACAGGTATTTTGTCACAAGGAAAAACACCCGCATAATATCTCAAAGAAATAGGATCTCGAGATAAGATTTGATGAATCTGTGATGAATTCATCAGTTTCCAAAATCGTACAGAATATTTCGAGCTTTATTGATTTCTATCAAATTTTCAAATTCAGCGTACACTAATAACGAAACAGTTTGTTGTAAG